TGACTCTGTAAAACCGCTTAGAGAGGGCTGAAAGCCCTATGAAGCAGCATATAAGTCTAACTGCTATTGCTATTGCTATCTATCTATGTCTGTCCATCCGTCCGTCCGTCTGTCCACCATCTATCATCTATCATCTATCTCTCTTTATTTCTGCCTTTGAGTTGACTTCTTGGAAAAGATTCCTGCTGTGTTTATGGCCACATTTTTCATTGTGGTTTGCCGGGAGGGAGAGACGGGGGGGGGGGCAAACTCTGCCCAATGACTTCTATGCGAAAGGCAGGACTAGAACTCAGGCCTCCCAGTTTCTCGCCCGGAGTCTTTGACCCTTCCTATTCATTACTTTTCTGCTCTGAGTTGCCTTACCATATGGTTTTAAAAAGACAATCTGATCCTTTCTGTAGCCGAGACTTTTGCATTCGTCTTCAAATTTCTGCTTTATCTCTGGATCCTGAGTTACTTCCTTGCCTGGGGGGAACAGAGAGAGTGGTGGGGTGGGCTGAATGGGGGAATGGGGGGGGAGATGTTTCAGAAGGGGAGTGATGGGGGCAGACTTAGTTAGGGGTTTCCCATTGTATCAGGATTTTGCCAGATCAGTAAATGCTGGGCAGCCTCTGAACTCTTCCAGAAGCCCCCAGGCTTAACTTTTAGGGAAATGCATTAAGACGATGCCCAGCCTGCCTCCTCCTTGCGGGGACGATGGGCCTTGGGGCACCTACTGTGAAGCATTGTGGTTTTGGATTTGTTGTCTGCGTCCACCACGCTGATGGTTGTAATGACGAAGTTGCCTTTGACCTTCACCGATTCCACTATCACCGTTGTATCACCTGCCAGGAAAGGTTTGGGACGTGAGGGGCAGAATCAGGCAGGCCCAAATCTAGCCAAGCTGACGACCCTTTCGGGGCCTGGAACCTCAGCGTTGGCTCATTGGGCCGAACAGCTTCTCCGATAACTCTCCAGAGCGTTTCAGGTATATTACAGGCAAGAGGAGCAAGGCGTACCTATGGGGAAAGGATGTGCAGTTGTGATAAAATCAAACTGCGGAAATTACAGTGTAAATATTAGAAGCGAATAGTAATGTTAGCGTCCTTTAACCCTTAGCGTGTAGTATTTGACATGGTTAACGAAATGGAGGTTGGACTTTCTGCACCATGTCGGGCTCCTAGAAAAGAGGGGCAGCCTCTCCCCCACTTGGGCTTTTCACAAAATAGCAACTTGCTGCATCCCAAACAGGTTGGGGCCTTGCAGGAGGACATTCCCGTTACTTCCAGCCAGAGGTGGGTTCCTACCAGTTCGCACCAGTTCGGTAGAACCGGTTCGTCAAATCTACCGAACCGTTTAGAAGAGGTTCCCCCAGAAAGCCGGCCCCACCTACAGAAGAGGTTCCAAAAAATTTGGAAACCCACCACTGACGCACACACAAACATACACAAACACACACACACACACACACCAGGAATCAGGGGAGTCAAGGCTCCCCAATCTTTTCAATGGAAACGATGGATAGGCAGGGAAGGTTTATATTTCGAGATTACATACGGCTTAAAAATATTTAGAATGTATACTGTCTAGGAAGGAGCAACTGCA